GTGTCGGTCGTGTTCTTCCGATGATAAATGAGTCCATTCCTGTTTTTCCTTTTCCTCCCAGCGAGTTTAAAAGCGACTTCCTGGAGCTGCTCAGCAGACGTTTTGGTGAGTCCTGATTCTGCACGCTTTATCCAGATGTTTAGTGCAACAGCAGCTGTTTACGGAGCTGTTTCTGTGTGTTCTTTTACCCTGCAGGAACCAAGCGAGTGCACAACAACATTGTCTACAATGAATACATCAGCGACAGAGAGCACGTCCACATGAACTCCACCCAGTGGGAGACCCTCACCGACTTCACCAAGTGGCTGGGCAGAGAAGGTAAACTCGCTGAATGGGGAAAGTCTTTACACGTGGTTTGCTTCCCCTGCTACATCAAGAAATGGAAATCCTCTCCCTGAAACATTTAGGAAGGTAACGTCTCTTTAAGGACCAACATTTACAGAGTAGACGGACAACAACAGAAACAGAATCAGACCCAATACGAAGAGATCAGAGTGAGTGCAGGCACTGCTCCGCTACTGAGGCATTATTTGAAATGTGTAACACTTTGCTGAACGTCACCGCTAGGTTTCTGTAAGGTCGACGAGACCCCTAAAGGCTGGTACGTCCAGTACATCGACCGCGACCCGGAGACCATCCGCCGCCAAGAGGAGCAGGCGAGGAAGAAGAAGCAGGACCTGGATGACGAGGAGAGGAGCGCCAAGTTCATCGAGGAGCAGGTCCGCAGAGGCCGCGACGGCAAGGAGCCCGAAGTGAGTGCTGGCAGCTTTTACTGTCTGTACAACATTCAACACCCCCTGTCTGATTCAGGAGAGGAAAACTCCCCCATATAAAACTTTTAACGGGGGAAATGGAAGAAACCTCAGGGGGAGACACAGAGGAGGGAGATCTCTCCCAATATAGAAAGACATGCAATAGATTAAACCAACAAAATCCCATTATATACATATTTTGATGACACAGTTTGTGATATATGAAGATTAGTGTGCACATGCTGAGTGCAGCTAAATACAAACTTAAAATAATATTTTGTTCTGTATTTTTCTCTGTAGGAAACTCCAGTTTACACAGAGCTGAAACGTGAGAGTGAAGAAGAAAAAAGTGAGACAAAAACTGTCATTTTTAGGTTAAAGAGCAGTGATGATAAATGTTTTTTGTCAGTTATTAAGCTTTTGGGATGTCATTATGATTTTGGGTATTCTAACCAAAACTCTAGACAAAATTTAGCGTGTTTGTTCCTTTCTTTCCACTCACCCTCACATGTTTTTCTGCAGTCGCTTTCAACCTGGGAGCCTCTTCATGTGTAGCCGGTCCTTCCAAATCGAGGTACGGGAGTCTCTGCAGTTTGTTCTGCCTAAGTATGAAGGATAATTAAATTACTTTGTCTGACACTGTTTGTATCTCCCTGTAGTTCGGCCCTGGGTGCTAGCGCTCTCAAAGCAGCAGCAGCATCATCCTCCTCTTCCACCAAGAGGAAAGACACGTCCTCCAGTTCAGACTCCAGATCGGATAAGAAGAAGAAATCTGCTCTGGAGGAGATCATAGAGGTATATAGAGGATGATTGTATCTTGTGTTTACATTTAGTCCAGCTGAGTGTTCTGAAAAAGGAGCTTTTTTTTATTCTGTTCAGATGGAGGAGAGGAAGAAGAAGAAGCAGCAGCAGGTCAGAACAGATTACTGGCTGCAGCCCAACATTGTGGTCAAAGTTGTCACCAAGAGGCTGGGAGATAGGTACCACAAGAAGAAGGCTGTCGTCACGGTAACAGTGCTTTGTATTTATTTTGGGGGAGAGCACGTTTATGTGGATGTCGGCCGTGTTGCTAACAGCCGTGGTGGTTTTGGGTTTGTTTTTTTTTGTCGTAGGAAGTGCGAGACAAGTATGCAGCGGTGGTGAAGATAATCGACTCCGGAGACAAACTGAAACTGGACCAGAATCACGTGGAGACGGTCATACCTGCACCAGGTGAGCCGTCAAAACCCTTCAACCCTTCTAACAACGCTCTACAGATCGCTGAGCGTCAAACCGATTAACAAACCTGAGGCTGAAGCATCGCCAAGTGCCTCAGCTGTCTTTTTCTGTCCTCCTCAGCATCTTGTTGTTAAACTCCGCTCCCCGCAGGTAAACGGGTTCTGATCCTGAACGGTCCGTACAGAGACACGGAGGCTGTGCTGGAGGGGATAGACGAAAAGAACTTCAGCGCTACGCTCACGCTCGACTCTGTGAGTAGTCCGGGCTGTTCTCACATCTTAGCCACTGGTTTGTTGGTCATTGTTTCCTGTTTAAAATTATATGAGGACCCTTCAGACAAGTTTCCAATCGACTGTGTAAAGTGTGAATTCACCTATATTACAAAAAGCATAATTTATCATTTACCGTCGGGGTAGTTTTTGGATAGTTTCTGAGATATCTGCTTGATTTCGTTTGTGGTTCTCAAAGCACTGAAAAGTTGCATTTCAAAATAATGCGTCTTCCCACAAACAGTGTATCTCTCTGATTGTTTGGATAATACCCCGAACATAACTTATTATTTATTATCCAGCGCAAAAGGGACACCATACCTACAGAGAGATGTTGCTGGTGACTTTTTAAATGTAAAACTGTCAATGGTATAGAGCATAAATAAAACCAAAACAATATGCATCTGACCACATTCAGTGTGAAAAATGAGGCTTAACCTGTGTACCTATGTTGCAGCAGCAGACATCTTTAAAGTTTCATCCTCTCTCACCTTTAGGGTAAGGAGAAGGGGAAGAGAGTGGACATCGCCTATGAGGATTTCTCAAAACTGGTCTGAACCAACAACCTTCCTGTTTTAACCTCAGGCAGTCAGTTACCCTGAGGGACTCTCTACTGTGTCAGAGTTACCCCCCCCCNNCCCCCCCCCCCCCTCCTCCAAGATTCACCTGTACATACACACACACATCCCACAATGCAATTCCAGTGAGTTATCACAGAGAAAACTTAGAGCAATGTGTTCAATTAGTTTTTTATTTTGTATTAATGTTCAAGTTGATCTACAACATTGCAGATGTACATTTTCTCCAAATAAATTCAGCAAAAGTGACTTCTGGTGTTCTTTGGAAAGTAATTGGGGGGGGAAAACATTTAGAATTTTTAAAATAAAGACTGTAATCAGGAGATGTAGATGCATACAGATACCAAAAAGTTACACGTCTTCATGTCTTCCCCTCTGTCTTCTGGCTCCGGTTTTTTCACTCACTGTTTTAAATGTAATTTTCTTTACAACCCTACTGACCCAGGTGATTAATAAGCAGCATAGCACTCTCGAACGTGTCCCTGGCTGCTCAGAGCGTCTGGAGGAAGCTGTTGAGGTTCGGGACGATGTAATCGGTGTAGTGGCCGTCGATGAAGCCCTTCCCACTGTTGTGTACAAACCAGCAGTAGACGTCTGAGCCGCGCTTCTTATCGAGCCTGTAGTCTTTCTGCCAGCCCCTAATACACACAAACACACAGATTTATGGTTTTAATAAGAAATGGGTTTGTTTCAGAAATGAGTTTTATGTGAGTTAACGTACCTGGTGACGTTCAGCCTGTTGCCCTTCACCTCCATGGTGGCCTCCTTCTTCAGAGGGTCGACTCCTTCGTGAATGTCGTTCACGCTCACCTCAGGCTCTCTGGAAAACTGTCCTGTTAAATAGGGACCGGTGTAAACCTCTGGGTGGCCTTATTCATGTCTTTCTACAATCTAAAGCTTGAGGTCTGGCTATGAAAGTAACACCCTGCATTTTTATCAAAGCCTGTGAGGTTGCTGAGACGTACCTATTAGCCCATGGACCAGAGGGGAGTACCGGTTGTCATTGGCAATGTAGATACCGAGGAAGTCGACGCTGACTGGATTTTTCTTCCACACACGATGAAGTAACACCATCACCTGGATATCGTTATTTATTGTGATGGAAACGTGAGAGTTCTTCACAATGGAAATCCTCACACTGAAACACAGAAACATGAGACAAAATGACCCAGATGTAAATGGCAGTGAGGCAGATGTGACAGGTGTGACAGTTACCCATCCTGTGTGATTTCGGACGTGGCCCCCCAGGTGAAGGAGTGGTTGTTCCTGCCGTCGGTCACGGTGATGTCGACGGTGCTGGCGGTCACGCTGACTCCATCGGGCTGGTAGTAGACCGAGATGGTGCCGAAGTAGGTGTTCAGTTTGTTTTTGTGCATCTTCTTTGAGCCAATCAACTGGCCGTTCACCACAACACCTTCAGGACAGGAGAGGCGGTTAAAAGAGGAGGGTCAACCCATCAGATGTAAGGTCACACTTTAATGGGACAGCCTGAGTTCAATCTTCATAATTTTTGATAAACACACATTCTGGACTGTTACAAGTACAGATTCAAAAGAAACATCTGAATCTGTTGCTTTTTCCTGGTCCAGGATTCCCATTATGCAGACCTGAAAGACATTTTATTTAGTATTCCTACGGAATACTATTGAAGGATCTGGAATAAGTAACCCTTAGTGACTAACGACTAAATATAATATGATACAGAAATGGCTGTATCACAAACACTAGAGGGGGTTTTATCAAAGGTTTGGTACCATCAAAACAACCTCAATTTAACTAATATGTCAAATGAATGTTAAACTATTTCTCAAAATGTCTAAAACAAACTTTTTTAAGATGAGAAGATTGATACTTCTCTTGTATGTGTCTGTTAAATATGAAGCTCAGGCGAGGAGATTCTTAGCTTAGCATAAAGACTGCAAACTTGGGAAACGGTCTGTTCCCAAATTTTAAACTGTACCTTTAAACCCTCTTCAACCCTCAACAGGTCATAACCTTTGCACTGGTCTTGTTTGTTTACAATAATTAAACCAAAATGCCTTAAAATACATACTGTGATGGTAAAATGCCAATGTCCAATGTCCATTAAAGACAGAAAATCTGTGCCAAATCAGGTTGCTTAAGGACCAATATTTGACTATTTATTCAGTAGAGTTTGGTACCTGTTCCACTGTCAGACACCAGGTTGAGAATGTGACCGGGTTTGGAGTCGATGTTGAAGCAAACGTCCATGTTACTTCGGGGCAGGTGTACGATGAAGTGTGGGTCGTTGTCCACTGGATGAGAAACACTGAGATTGTTACACACTGAGTACCGTTCACATTTAACTCAGCAGCTGGACGAGTTGTCATGAGTTTATTGAAGTCAGCAGAAGTGTGTGTGTGTTACCTAAGTTGACCTTTAGAGGCAGGGTCCACTCCTCCGGGCCCTTCTCAGCCTGGCTCGGTGGAGCCGTAGTGGTCATCTGGACCCAAGGTGGAGGCTGGTAGACAACGCGGACTGGACCCGGACCATTGATTGCTGGGCCTCCTCCTAGTCCTCCTCCTAGTCCTCCTCCTACACTCACATGACAGTGTGAAGGTAACCCAGATGTTGTGTCATCAGCATTGTCAGTCCATGTAGTTTGATTGGTTGTGTATTTGATATAGAATTGAAAGAATATATATATTTCTTGTGTTTTTGATACTATATTCCTCCCTATATGTGGTTTAATTTAATCCTTTACTCTCTCTCTCTCTATATATATATATACTATATTTTTTGGTTAGTGTAAATAAAATCAAATAAAAATCAGGTTTCGACAGCAACATTAATCAACACTGAGAGAGTGTATCTTCTGTCAGGCACCTGAGCAGCAGCCATGCTTGGGGTCCCTTGGGGAGTCAGCCAGCAGCCTCTCTGTAGCGCCTTCGCTCTCCACCAGCAGAGCGGTGAGAGGAGTGACGAACTGATGCTCCACAGCCAGCGACATAATCCGCTGGGTGATCTTCCTCTTCTTGACAGCTGTCGGAGCCTGAGACCTGCAGCAGAGCCACACTGCAGCGGTCAGAATACTGACAGTAACACTGATTAATGGTTAGGAGGGACAATACTATTATATTTCTACAAAAACTTAATGTTTTCTTAATGTTTCACCTTTCAGAGAGCAGCTGTTTGATGGTGATGTAAGCCCACATCTGTCTGGCGAAGCCTGTGAACGAGTGCTGCTGCTTGGCCAGCTCCATGTCCAGCTCCGTGGTGTCAGCCTCAGTCTCCAGGGTCATGTCCAGGCGGGACTGCAGGACAAGATGGGACAGAGGACAGTGGTGGTATAAGTCCCATTCCTTCCCTAAACTTTTGAATTCTGCATTCACGTGACACATATTTTCCCAGTTTGGTTTGTCAGCCACAATGCCTGATATTAATAATAAATGAATTAAAGGCCACTCAAAACCAATGTGACTCCAAAATCAAGAGAAAGATGAAGGAGCAGAACAAGGAAATAGTCTGTGTGAGTTTGTTTTTATCTGGTCTGGTTCCATTTAATTTTGCTTTGTGCCAAAGTCTTGTGGGCAGTGGTTTCCTAAGCCTCCATCACAGTTGAACAAAAGTGATTTTCACCTCTAAACCTCTCAGATTGTTTCGTTTAAATAACTGTTGGTGACCTGAAGATGTGAAACTGTCACACAAGAAGGAAAAATTTGAGAAAAATCTGATCAATACAATGTTTTCCCTGCTGAAAGAATCAAGATCCCTCAGTTTGGAACCTCTGAATTAGGAACTATAAGTATTCAGTTCAGCTCTTACATATGCAATGATGTAAAACATGTTGTAAAAGCATAGCTGTGTTGAATATACTCACAGCAGATGCAGTGGTAAAGCTGGTCAGGGTGTTGCTGTCAGACGGCAGCACCTTCCCAGCCACCACCAGCTCTGAGCCGCTGAAGAATTTGTCGAAGCGGTTCTGGGTGACATCTGACACCGAGTCCTCCGGGAACTGAATGGTGATCCTCCTCAGCAGAGGAGAGGAGACCTGGCTGTAAAACATCTGCAAGGGGAAGAGGAGGGAGACTGTAGAAGATGCTGTTCAAGAGCATCAGGAAACTAAACCCTGATCTCTAGTAGAGTTTCTGTATAGCGGTATCATGACTAAGGATGGAAGGAAGGAAGGATTTGCTCATTTTTAATTAGCAAAACTTAAGCTTTATCACTTTAAATTACAGTATTTGGGTTTTAGTCCATCCGTATTAAGTTATTTCTAGCCTTTGTTACTTAAAATCATTGAAATCTAAACCAAAATTCAAATTGGGTTTCGAGTTTCGATACCGGATTCAAATTCACTAATATGCTAAAAATGATAAATAGAGACCCCAGCCACAAGTATAATACATAACATATGATGTGTTGTTTGAGAGGGAATGAGGACAAAGATCTAAGTGATGCCGAGCTTGTTTGCTGAAGGTTAAGTTTTCCTCAAAGTTTCTCTAACCCGTAGCTGTTCTGCAGCATCGTGGTTGGCGTAGATCCTCTGAGCCATGCCCCTGTTCTCCATGGCGATACGCTCCAGGAAGTCATAGTCCACGTCGAAGCCGATGCCCAGCGAGAAGAGAGAAAACTCCTCCCGCATCACCCGCTTCACATTCTTCTGGATGGTGCTGAGCTTGATCTCACCTACAAACACCAATTAGAAGAGTATATTCATGCTATATTCAGAGCTGATTTAAAAGTAGAATTTATTTTGGTCGAACAGGGTCAACCTGAGTCGGTCAGTCTTACCGACAGTGGGGTCTCCATCAGACACCAGAATGATCATAGAGACAGAGCGAGGGTCGATGAGTCCCTGATTGGACGCCCTCACCAGCATCTGAATTGCTCTCATCAGGGCCTCATTGATGTTGGTACCTGGAGTCAAAAGTCAGTAAATTATAGTTATTAACAGACATGTGTTTATGTTTAGCAGACCAATCAAGAAGTTCTAAGCCTCCTACTTGATTAAAGTATAATGTTTTCTCACACCTCCGTTGGGTTTGATGTTCTGGATGTATTTCTTGGCATCTGCGATCTGAATAGAGGAGCCGGGGACCAGCTCCTCGCTCCAGCAACGCACATTGTGGTTGAAGTCAATGATGCTGAAGTGATCATCAATGGTCAGGTCATCCAAAATAGCCTGCATGGCCTCCACTGTCTGCGAGAGAAGGGTGGAGTATTAAATGCATTCTGCAGAATGACCACATGGTGGCAGTGTCTTACAAAGGAGGGGTGAAGA